CTCTCTCTCTCTTTCTCTCTTTCTCTCTCTCTCTCTCTATATATGTGTGTTTCTCCCTCTCTCTCTCTCTCTCTCTCTCGCTCCCTCTCTCGCTCTCGCTCTCTCTCTCTCTCTCTTTCTCTTCCTCTCTCTCGTTCTCTTTTTTTGTTCTCTCTCTCTCTCTCTCGTTTTTTTCCTCTCTCTCTCTCTCTCTTTCTCTCTCTCTCTCTCTCTCTCTCTCTCACTCTCTCTCTCTCTCTCTCTCTTCCCTCAGAGCCCCCGGAACCCCTGCCAAGAATCCGAATGCCCTTCTCTGCCGCGCCGCAAGCTTCTCGAGAACCCCAGCCACGATCCCCGACGACTGACGCGCCCGCCGCTCCCGGAGGCCCAGGCGGGTGCAACGGGGGGGTGGGTTCCCGCGCTCAGAGGCCCAACCGCGCTGTGGGCTCCTGAATCCAGGGCCGCAACTATCGTCTCCACGCCGCGCCCCTGGCCCTCCCTGACAAGCACTTCATTGAATTCCTTGTCGGGACCCCCCGTGTCCACCAGCTGCAATGCGGCGTATTTGTGCTTCGAAGTATTCTCCCTTCCGATGCGCTCTGTGACTCGGTTACCCCAGTTGGAACCATCGTCGCAGTCAACGCTGCGCTCTGGCAGTGCGCGCCACCCCTTGATCGCTAGCTTCGCCCCCGTGCTTTGCCCCACTTTGCTTCCTGGCAGGGCGTCATCCACTCCAGCGCCCCTCGAACGGGCCCCGGCGCAATGGCGCGGCGGGCAACTCCACCGGCGCCAGCGGTCTCGCCCACCCCAACGCCGTAGCATCCTGGCCCAGGGAGGGGCTGCCATAAAATGTGCGCGGGCCCCCCCACGCCCCCTGCCCTCCTCGACCCGGGGTGGCCTCGCTTGCGTTCTTGGGGCAGCGTGCCGCGACGGGGTCCTCTGACCGCATGTGCAACAATCCCTCTCACTGATCGGCCCAAGCCCTCCCTAGCCACCTCCTTTGCATCCTTGGGCTCGGCCCCCTTGGCAAACTCCTGAGGGGCCCCCTGCGCGCCCCCCGTGACCTCCTGGGCAACCCCCGGCGCCCTGGCGCCCTTCTCTGTGCCATCCTACCTGCAATCCTTGGCATTCATTGGTACCTTCGCATTCCGATCGTCCGCCCAAAATTCCCTTGGCGGTTCCTTTCGCGGCGCAGTCTTTGACAAAGTGCCCATATCCTCCACACCTGCAACACATGTGTCATTGTCAGCTGCCTTTCCTATGCTACATTGCTTGCGTCGTCATAGTAGCCGAGCTCGTGCACTTTCGTCTCAAATTCCCCATATATCCTAGAGGCGCTGTTCTTGGTCTCAGCGTCAAGTCTCATCTTTCTGGTTCAACCTTCACACGCTATGATGAGCTTCTAGTAAGTGACAAGATTCACCTATTCTGGCGTCTTGAAGCAGTCCTGCTGCCAGTCGCAAAACCAATTACCTACGTGGGCCATGAAAATCCACGACGCAGTGGCCTCGCACGGCAAAAAGTAGCGAGCGCGCGCTCCTCTACTCTTCAAGGGACTCTACCAGCGCACTCCACTGTTCCAGCTGTGTCGCCACGTCGTGAACCTTCTAGGGTAGATCTGGATTCATGGCCTGGTTAACTTCGCGTGACACCGTGGTTCTGGAAATCGCCGAGTACCACGAATACGCATCTACCTATATATATAGAACATCAACATATACATGCATACACACATACATACACAAACACAGACATCCATACCATCGCTCGCCATTCGGCCATCTCCTTCGAACAAGCGCTTGAGATTGTCCCGTGGTTCCGCCCTTCCAATCTTGACATTCAACCCGCACCAGGGACCTATTCATTCATGGTCAAAACCCCCCGCTCATATTCAATATTGAGTCATCCTCTTCGTCACCAACACATGGTTTCACGTTTGCTGTTGTACTATTTCGCAGTCTTCCGATATCCGTGATTCCCTTGGGCGAGCGCGTTCGGCAATTGCCCAGTCCACCCCCTGGATTTGGCCAGGTTTCCCGAAAACCATTAGTATTGTTACACGGTTTTGCACTGGCTGCTTGGTTTGTGTCCACCTCCTCAGGCCCCCATTCTCCCAATCGACTGCCTGCTTTCGGCAATATGGGTAACATGTTCCGAAGAATTCGTCTGACGTCGTAGTGTTGTGATTACGTGTTCTTCCAGGTTGGTGGGCGGACCTTTGCAATATAGATGTATGTGTATACATATATATATACATATACATCTATACATATATATATATATATATATATATTGTGAGGGATGACCGGGATCCGACGGGAATGCATACTGCAGCTCATCTGTAACATCGCGAACCCCTCATCGTCGTCGACAGTCCTGGTGCCCACGGTGGCGTTGCGTTCGAAGAACGTATCATCCCTTCGCGATTAGCTTTGCAAGCGGGGATAACACGCCTGGACCTTCCGATCTCAAAGTCGACATTGCACAATTCCGCGAGCTGGTCCGCGCGAAGGTTATATCAGGCTTCTCGCATATCGGATAACGGTCCATTGTAACCCGGATCGTGGCTGCTGGGATCCACGGGGGTCGCTGCAGATGCCGCCGCTGCCATCTCAGCTCTGGATTCCAGAAAACAAACCACGGATTCCGCGATAATGAAAATACGACAGGCGCTGCTTCACAACACGGCGAAGAGCACTTGAGCCGAACAGTTGCGACCCACAACTAACACGCACCAATCTAAGCCGCGTTACTCACCCAGTCACATGGCCATGTTCAAAGCACTGCTCCTCCTCCTCCTCCTCCTCCTCCTCTTCCTCCTCTTCTTCCTCCTCCTATTGCTGCTCTTCCTCCTCCTCCTCCTCCTCCGTTTTCTCCTCCTCCTCCTCCCCTCCTCCTCCTCCTCCTCTCCTCCTCTCCTCCTCCTCCTCCTCCTCCTCTTCCTCCTCCTCCTCCTCCTCCTCCTCCTCCTCCTCCTCCTCTCCTCCTCCTCCTCCTCCTCCTTCTCCTCCTCTTCAACCTCCTCCTCCGCCCCCTCCTCATCCTCGTCCTCATCCTCCTCATCATCCTCATCCTTTTGCGCCTCCCCCTCCTCCTCCTCATCATCATCATCCTCCTCGTCGTCTGGCCTCGTCGAGGGCGCAGAAGCCCAGAAGGTGCCGCATCGGCGGCAGCCTGCGCCAGGCGCAGCTGCCCTCCACGACGCGCGTGCCAGCGGCGCCACAGCTCTGGCCTTTGGGAAGGACGACGGCGGCAAAGAATGACGACGACGACGACGGCGACGGCGACAACGACGACGAGGGCAGAAAAAAGAAGACAAGGGGCGAAGAAAAAAATTAGTCCCACCAGCCCGTTGGGCGACAGGTGGTCGAACGGTGACTTTTTCTCATCCAAAAACCATTCCCCTTCGGGGAAGGGTTTATCAATGTTCCCTATTAATGTACAGCCCCTCCCCCAGGCGACCGGGAGACAACCCAGGTCCATGAGGGCCCCCCGCACACCATCCCTTTTAAAAAAGCCATACAAACACACACTCTGCCCCCACCATCCCTGGTTAAAAACAATACAAGACACATTCTGCCTCCAAGTTCGGAGCATGCGCAGCGAACCCGATGCGGTCTCCCCTCACCATCCCTTTCAAAAACAATACCGAATACACTTGGCGGCGGCGGCGGCGGCTGCGGCGGCTGCGGCGGGGGCAGCGGCGGGGGCAGCGGCTGCGGCGGTGGCGGCGGCGGGGGCGGCGGCGGCGGCGGCGGCGGGGGCGGCGGCGGCGGCGGCGGCAGCGGTGGCGGCAGCGACTGCGGCGGCAGCGGCTGCGGCGGCGGCGATTTGGCAGCGGGGGCGGCGGCGGCGGCGGCGGCGGCGGCGGCGGCGGCGGCGGCGGATTGGCCCCCAGTAGCTGGCCATCCAAAGACGACTGCTGCATATGCTGCGGCTCGGGCCAGGCTCGGGTGCTACGTATGTGTTGGGACGGCGGGTGGGAGTGAGCGAGACGGCTTGCGGGCGGGGAGGGCGTTTTGACCCAATCCCCCTACCCCCTCCCTTGGACCTCGACGGGAGTCTTCTCCACCCGCAGGTTCCTGGGAGGCCTCCACAGGCACAATAAGATCGAACATGAAAAAAGATTCGACCCTCGATCCTCGAAACTGCTCTACCTGCAAGACACTTCTGGCGGCGCCCGTGGACGTCAAGAGACCGCCGACCCTCGGGCTGCAAAGGAGGCTGAAGGGCCTCGCGGGTCTGCATGACCTCATGCACCACGAAGAGCAGCAGGCTAGTCCCTGGACGAGCGCGCTCCACTACTCGCAAAGTAGCTACTCAGAAATGGCCCGGATCCACCGCGGGGGATCTACGATCTATTACGTCGAAGCGAACATGTGTTGTTCGGACGTTTGCGAGGAGGCGCTTTGCGAAGAGTAGAACGCCCTCGGTGATTCCCACCCACCCACCCATCCGTGCCTTTCAAGCCACGGCGTCGGAGTGGCCGCGGGGGTATCGATCCGGCGGGCGGAGGGCGAGGGCGGCTGCCTCCAGTCCACCTCTTTCGCCCTCGGCGAACGGCAGCCTGACGCATTCCTGCGCTGTCGCACAGTCGGACCGAGGTATAAGATCGAGGTCGGTTCGGGGAGGATGCCATGATTCTCTTCGTGCTTGTTGGATGTACTTGTGTATCCTGGGAAGGGTACCCTTGCGTGCTCTGTGTTTTGGCCAGCGAAGAGTCGCATGTTCTTAAGGGATGTTCTTCTGGCATAGGTCCGACTGTAACTGAAGCCTCCCTCGAGTCGGGGGCATCCATGAGGAGGGGTGTCCAAGAGGGGGGCTCGCAAATCATGGCCCGAGGCGCGTGCGCAGACGAGGGGGATCAGGGGACGCACTGAAAGAAGAAGAGGCCATGAAATCGGCGCAGATATCATGGCCCCAGCCATGAAACCCACCCATCCCCTTGTCATCACGCAGCTCACGCGCACAAATACAGTTTTCACTCGGAGCCGAGTGCAGCGGTGTGGCCCGTCGCCTAAAGTGGCCAGCGAATATGCCCACGCACCGCTTGATGCATGGTATGTCTGTCAGTCAGTCTAGTCATCACATAGAGGCCTCCAAAATTGGGTCCGAGTAGATGGGGCCAGAGGATCGCGCCGCATCGACGATACATCGGCGATGCATCAGCGATGCATCGGCGATGCATCGGCGATGCATCGGCAGCGTCGGCGTGAATAAAATCGAGATACACATAGAGCCACATAGCTGATCCACCAACGATGCGGGGCGATCCTCCGACCCCCTCAACTCAGACCCCACCTGCGAGGCCTGGAGCGCATGGTCTGTCGGCCAGTCTGGTGCTCCCCCCCCTCTTTAGACGAGCGCGTGCCACTACTCGCAAAGTAACTTCTCGCAAATGGCCTGGATCCGCCATGGGAGATTTACGATACATTACACTGATGCACTGATATGTTTTTTCAAACGTTTGCGAGTAGGCACTTTGCGAGTAGTGGAACGCGCTCGGTGGCTCTTGGCCGCCCCAAGCCGAAGAGGCAGAGGCCCACCCCCCCCGCGGCCCAGGCCTTCCGCGCCCGCCAGCATCCACGGCCTCGGCGGGGGGGGGGGGGCGGCGGCCGACCCCCACCCGCGACGGCCGTGCTCGGGGGCGCCGGGCTCCACAACAAGGAGTGCGGCCCGTCTTGCCGGCCACCCGCCCGCCTTCCTCGGAAGGGAGGGGGAGGGGCAGCAGGAGAAGCGGGCACGGGGGAGCAGGGGGGAGGGGCAGAAGGGGACGGGAGGGAGGGGGCTGAAAGAGGGGGGGTGGAGCAAGGACTGGGTTAGGGTAGGCACGCCACTAGTAGGGGAACAAAAAGTGGCATAAACAGAAAAACTCGAAGGTCCGCGCGGATTTCTCGGATCGGCGCTGGACCCCCCTCTCTGACGCGCGGAGCGCGCCAGGTGCGGCGCCGGAGGCGCCGGAGGGGGGGCCCAGCGCCGATCCGAAAAATCCGCGCGGAAATCCGAGTTTTTATGTTTACGTCACTTTTTGCTCCCCTAATTAGGGCCGTCACACCAGGACTGGCACCGAGGCCCCAGCCTGGCACAACGAACCCGAAGACCTGTCAGATCTGCAATCTCCACCACCGCTCGCCGGCCCGTGTCGGGCACGGTTGGGGCCGACTCCCGTGCCTCGCGGTCGAGAGGTACTGGGGTTCACGACAGTGCGAGGGGGAGGAGGAGGGGGATGATGATGATGATGAGGAGGAGGAGGAGGAGGAAGAAGAAGAAGAAGAAAAAGAAGAGGAAGGGGGGCGCAGCTAGGGGCTCGGAAGGAGGAGCTCCAGACACGCCGCTGGCGGACGAAGCGCGTGCATCACCTCGTCCTCGTCAGCCAGTTCAAGCTCGAAACACTCTCCACCAGTGAACTGCAATACTGAGCGGGAAAGCGAGCAACCACCAACTGCTTCTGAATAGCGTGAAAAACCTGAGGCCGAACTCCGCGTCGACGGGTTGCTGCTTGCCGAAGATCTCCTTCAGTCTCACCGAATTATCAGGGTGATCGTCTTCTGCCACGGGTTCAGGTGGTAGCTCAGGTCCTGCTGGATAGTAGTGCAGATGAACACGCTCCTGAACTCTGTCTCGTAGCTGACTTCCTGCAGGTTCTTTGAAAGCACGTCGCTTTGGTACTGCTTTTGATTTGGCCACCACCTCAGGCTGAGGCGGCTGCCGAACAAGACTGTGCACATGCGGGGCAAGTCGCTCTTGATCATGCGATTGCCGAACCAGTTGGGCGTGCTCTGCTTCAAGTGCCGCTTTGGGAGGTCCTGCATAGACTGGGTACTTGCCACCACGGATGCGGTTCAAAGCGTCCTGTCCATTCTTGGTAATCTCCTCATCGCAAGGCGCTCGTAAACCCTTGCCTATGGTAGTACCATGCGCCACAAACTTGGAACAGAAAAACAGCCCGTGCTTGGTCCACTCACTCACATGATGTGTGCAGCATATTTTGCCATTTCCCATGAAACGATCTCCTGTGACCTCGGCGATCTCGCTGGCTGCGGCGAACGTTGCAACGCACTCGGTGTTCACGAACTCCTGCAGAATGTCCGTGGCAATGTACTGCCGACAAGGCGTGCAAAACCACTTATGTTCGAGTTCGGCCAAATCATGCTCGGACGTCTTGGCCATGTTTTCGGTCTTGTCGATGGGCGCCTTAGGTTTGGCTGTGGAGGGTCGCTCAGCACACCATGGGTCAGCATCAGCTGCGTCTGCATGAGCTTGGCGGGCCCTGAGTCGAACATGAGCTGCAATGATGTCCCAATTATCCGTTCGTGGTAGTGGTCGCTCAACTCTTTCCCAAGACGCATCTGCTGCAACTGTGGCCAATGCGTCCGCGCAACTATTACCCATCGCGAAAATCGATTCTGACAATTCCATGTCCTCGTCGTCCTGGTGCGAGGGTGTCCACTCGACTTCGACTCGGCGCAGCTCGCTCTTCATGATAGCCCTCGTGATGCGTGCCCATATGTCAGCATGATTTCCTCGACCTGGTTGTCGTGCTCTGCCTTTTGCCCATGCATTCAACAACGGGTAGTGGTCTGTGGCGTAGACGGTGTTCCTCTCCGTCTCCTCGATGGCGATCTCGAAAGCCATAAGCTGAGCTCGTGGTACAATTTAGCGTCGCCCTGGGAGATCAGCCATCGTACCTGCTGTCATTTAGCATTGTCCATCATCCTCTTCATGACTGCAACTCCGATGCCAACCTTGCGCCTGCGAGGATCGTGTCCATGTGCTCCGTCCGATCCGTCGCCGAAGATGTAGAGCTTTCTACCTGGGACTCGTGCGTCTTCGATGTCGGGGACTGTCGGGTGAGTGAGCTGCTTCCGAGGGGGCGAAGGTGGAGGGGGAGAAGGGGAAGGGGGAAAGGAACGGGGATAGGGGAGGGGAATTGGAAGGGAAAGGGGAAGAAGGAGAAGGGAAGAGGAAGAGGCGCGAGGGGAAGCGGAAGGTAAGGGTTAGGGTAAAGGGAAGGGGAACGGGAAGACGAAGGAGAGGAGTGCAAGGACGGACAAAGCAGAATATTATAGGAGGAGGATAAGGACGAGGAGGACGAAGGCGGAGGAGGGAGGCAGCGGAGCAGCAGCAACAGGATGAGGCAAGGACCCACGATCCCAACCCTCCCTCCCACTCGTTCATTTTTTCCAAGATCGCGCGATCATCGCAACCAGGAACTAGGCCCGTGCGCTGCGCGGGGGGGGCCATACAACCTGACAAGTGCATCCACCAACTTAGACCTGAAATGCCAGCGCGCAGAACGCTCGAACTGTGCCACTCGCTCGTTCTCGTTTTTGGCCCGTGCGCCGTGACGAAGCGAAGGCCGCTGGCGGGTCCGCCTCGCGCCCTCGGCCAGGAAACGAAAACTGGGCGGAGGGCCAGCGGGCGGGAGCGCACGGCGGAGGGGAAGAGCGTGGAGGCAAGCGAGGAGACCCGGCTCGCAACACATCGGGGATCCTGTCGCTACCCACCGAGGGGCAACACATCGGAACTCCTTTCGTTACCCCCCGAGGGGCGACTCGGGGATTAGCCTCCCGCGGGCACCCCCAGCTGGCAGGAGTGGAAGCCAAGGATGTCACACTCCGGCGAGTGGCCAGCAGCCGCGCAAGGCTGCCACGAAGCCCAGGTCAAAGCATCGCCGACAGGAGCGGCGCAGAGCACGGGCTTTCTCCGCATGATTGCCTGCACCGGCGTGCCAAGAACCAGCAGCGGTGAGGCAAACGACCTCACGCAGCGGGGGAAGCTGTGAAGCCATCAATGGCTCAAGGCCGCCAGCCCGCGTCTGCGAAGAAGCAAAGAGAAGCGGGGAGGAGCGAGGAGGAGGAGGAAGAAGAGGAGGAAGAAGAGGAGGAGGAGCGAGGAGGAGGAGGAGGACGAGGAGGAGGAGGAGGAGGAGGAGGAGGAGGCGCGTGGCGCGGCGGCGGAGCCCTCCAGGCCGCACGCTGCATCTCCCTACCGCCCAGCCCGCCAGAGGGCTGCTGCAAGACAGACCGCGGCACGGCCCGCGGCAGAGGCAGGTGAGGCAGAGTGGCGCGCAGACCCTGAAACCTGCAGGTAACCAGAAGCACATGTGTGTCCAGCACCCTGGGGGGGGCCCTGGCCGAATTGCACCGGTGCAATATCAGGAACAATCCCCACCAGCGATGAGCCTAAAATGGCGGATAAGCCAAAACATCCAGACATGGCATGATGCCTCCTGCTGGCGCCGGGTATCGAACCCACGAGTCAGCGTCTGCAGAAATGGATGACCCGCGGAACGGCATGTCCGAGCAGATGGCCGAGCACCATGCAGGGCCAGCCGAGGGGACCGAGCGGCGCGGTCGAGTCCAAAGCGCCAAAACGCGTGCCTTAGAGAGAGAGTCTTCCCGGGCATCCGACAATGTGACTCTCTCCCTTTCGCGTCTTCGCTAAGAGGTTTCTTTAAAAAGGTGGTGTATATATATATATATATATATATATATATATATATTCTCATACGCACCTCTCCGAGGGAGTAGAGCTCAGAGGCGATTAATGCGTCCGTCGTTCGCGATTTGTCTGGCCGTTTCGCTCGGGACATCCTCGAAATTCTGAAAATCGGTGGCACCCCTCACGCAGATCGTGACGTCAGGGTCCAAAAACACATAGGATTTCCAACATTTTATCATAAAACCTTCAAAAACACATGGTAATTTCAATGATTTTGACTCCGATTCTCAGAGAATGGCGGTTTCGCCTGAGACATCCTCCCAAAATCGAGCCCCAGACCCCTCCTCGGAGCCTCCTGGGGGCCTCCTGGAACCTCCTGGGGCCTCCTGGGGCTTTCTGGACCTTCTGGTACCCCAGACCCCGCCTCGGAGCCTCCTGGAGTTCTCCTGGGCCTGCTGAGGCCGCCTGGGGCCTCCTGGGGCCTCCTGGGGCTTCAGAACTACATGCACACACAGAGACACAAATCACGCCCAACACATCACACGCTAGACAAACATAACATACACACACACACACCGACAACACGCAAAAAGCACGCACCACACAAAGCACACATCACACACACACACACTCACAATCCTGGGGCCTCCTGGAGCCTCTCCTGGTATCCAAGTCGGGCCTCCTGAGGCTTCCTGGGGGGCCCTGGTACACACATCGCAAGGTGTGGCAACCCCACTTGCGCTCGAGTGCGACTTCGCTGTTGCATGTCACTCCTGCTTCAAACGCCCCTTCAGCTTGTTGTATGAGCCTGGGCACACACGTGCCACTTGTATATATATCGGAGGTTGGGGGCTGAGTCCAACGTGAAACGGAGACCGCCCCTACCGGGAAAACGATTTCGGTTTCGGGTTCGTGTCGTGCATGCCGTGCGTGCGTGCGTGCGTACGTGCGGGCGAGGCGAAGCTGCGTGGGCGGGCGAAAAGAAATCCTCCTGTGACTGGGCCGCGGCTGGACCAAATGATTCTCCTCCGGCGGCCGGTGGCCGGCGCTGTCCCGCCCGTGTCCCGCTGGTGTCCCGAAATCCTCCTGTGGCTGGGTTGCGGCCGGACTAAATGATTCTCCTCTGGCGGCTGGTGGCCCGCGGTG